CCTTTGGTACCTGGCTGAATTCGCACCTGATCTCATTTGCTCTTGATCAACATCTAATAATCGCATCTTACTGCCTTTTAATGAATGCAGGCGCTTCCGCAATAGACGGGGGCATTCCTTAGGACTAACAATAAGCCTAGGCGTAGGCAAACATGGGGGAATCGAACTGCGCATGCACCCTGTCGTCCCTCCCCCTCTCTAAGAATTGATCTTGTTTATAATAAAAAAGAAAATATTTGACGGGTTACAAATACGCTGCTGCAATGCCTTCGTTTCTTGCGATAGCGGCTGGATGCATTTTAGAGTGGTTCCGTTCTTCTATCGGTTCCTTTCTCCGAGTCCTTGAAATAAAAGTGAGCAAAGTGCACTTTCAGCGCCCTTTGATTTATTTTTTGGTTCTGTTCAGTGTTAGATCGTTTTTGAGAACCAGATGGGGTCAGGGTGAATGCGGCGACGGGGAATTTTTATACTTGCTCGTACTTGAATTTTTGTTGTCTGGCTTTTTTTTTCGCGTGGAAAGCTTGTTAAGCAGCGGGCAACTTCATTGTTCATTGAAAAAAAATGTTTTTGAACTTCTGATTGTTCTGCTTTTCCCCCTCACTTTTAGCTGTGAGGGAATTTCTCATGTTTCTAATGCTATCCATTTCTATCCATATGGACGTTTCGCTTCCATTATCTTCGCATTCTTTCTACCGATTCTTGTCTACCGATCGGAATAATAATTTTTTGGATGAAAGTTTTTTCTTTTGTTTCAAAGTATGTGCTGTTACAACACTTGGAAAGATCAGATTTTGGCGCCCACGAATTGCACCTCAAGAAAAGTCGATAACTCATGGTTCGCCAGCGATCTCTGCACAACAGTTCTGTACACCCCGAAGTTGATCACGGCTCTCCGACTGGCGGTTGCTGGTTCTCACTTCGTTGTCGTTGCTGCCACAGATAGAAGAAATGGATCAAATCTCGCTTATGTCCGACTTCTCGTTCACTCAGGGTTGAATCGTGCCTTGATGAGCAATCACCAACCCCACTTCCCAACACCAGAGAACGACTATATTTCGCCATAAGTGTGCAATCGGTCGATATTCAGTTATCTCTCCTCCCAATCTGGTAACCCTTCTGCTGAGGAACGACCTGAAGATGAGCAAGCTCAGATCAAGGTTCTGCATGATAATGAACGTTCCAATCTAGAAATCGCACGATAACTTGGTCGTTCTCCTTAATGCATTCGAAGATTTATCTGGCACCCTGATAATTATACTCAGCACACACTCCGCTCCATCCACGATCCTTGACTGCTCAGATGCTCAGAACAACAAAAGAGTAGCCCACATCCTGTCGGATTCTTCATTGACAGTCCGAGCTCAGATTTTTATTCCAGCCTCGAAAATGACCACTAAGCCCCTCATCCGCTCAAATGAATACACCACTCGACAGACGCTGAGAAAGGCTACTCACTTCAAGGCCCAGCACAAGTTAGCCACATTGGAGTCTGCTCGTACAGACATGGCAACATAGGATAGGACACCGGGCGAAGACACGGTTTTTCGAGAATTTCCTATTTTCAAAACAAGCAACTTTTTATGGACTTTCTCCTCAGGTAATCTTAACTCATGGAAAGAGTTCGATCTTGACGGGCCGGGTGGATTTTGCTACTACTGGAGAGGCTTGGCCGTGAGTCGCTCGTGCTCTCGAGAAGGAATTTCGGAAGAGGCCCGTTGATGGGTCTGCGGCGGTTTCGCAATCAGCGGAAATTCAGAAGTTGCCGTTCCATTATTGCGTATGAACTGTAAAGAATACCAAGCAGTGCTCCAATGTCACCTGTTGCCCTTCCTTAGCGAAGCGGAGCGAAAATTGCATTTTTAGCAACAGGACCACGTGTCTTTCGATGCTTCGCAATCTACCAAAGAATGGCCTTAACCAAATGGTGCTGAAGCGATAGATTGGCTTGTGTGTCCTCCTTACTGCAACCCTATAGGGAGCCCTTGATCAAGGCGTTAACTTTAGCAACCGGCAGTATAATACCGCGGATGAACTGAAGGCGGCGGTAGAGGCTATTTGGGCCGACAGCGACGAAACAGCTATGCCAAACGTGGTTCAGATTATGCCGGACAGGATGTTTGAGCTAATTAGAAACTCTGGAGGCCCCACTGATTTCTAATCTCAGCTATGTTTTTGTCTTTTGTTAAGTGTGCACATACTTTTGAAACAAAGAAAAAAATTTCATCCAAAATTTTTTTCGAAAGTGAAGGCGATATTATCTGCTTTGCTTCCATTGATAGGTTATCGACTACGAGAAATCGATTGAGAAGGATTTCATAGCACGAAACCTCATGGTTCCCTTTCAAACGTGAATTTTGAGGGTGTGCACATACTTTTGAAACGCACTGTAGTAGCAGAGTGCATCAATTCAGCAGGG